TTTTTTTTTCTTTGCTATAGCAAACAAATTAAGGATTGAGAGTTTTTCAACAACACTTAAAATTATTATAAGTTATAAAATTTATAATTAACTGTATTTGATAATATAGTAACCAATTTTAAAAACTGAGTATTAAGTTGCATCTAAATATTTAGTTCATTAATAATTAATACACGATCTCTTATGCAATGAGATTCAAATCTCTTCTTTTTTTAAATAAAAAAATGAGTGTTGGGTTTCTATTTTCCTTTCATCAAATAAAAAAAAATTTAAATACTACTAATGCTACAATTTTATTACATTTCTTTCCGGCTTAATGTTTTAGAATGTTCTTAAATTATTTCAAAAAATTTAAATAAATTTTTATTTTTTATTACATTTAACTCATTATATTTTTATTTTCAATCAAATAATTAAGCTCTTAGACCGATTAATTATTACTAATCAAAAAATTATTAATTTGTTATTTTGTGTTCCCATAACTTTAACTTATAAGGTAAAACTATTATTTAATCATATTATAAGGTCACATCGATATCTTACATCACCGTTTAAGACATTTCAATATTTTATTTTTAATTAATTATAATTAATAAGTCAAGTTTATTTGACTTAAAAAATATATAAAAAATTAATTAAATATAATAAAAAATAAAAAATTATTTAAATTTTTTAAAAAATTATATGTTATATCTTTCTTTTTTATTTTCATGTACCAATACCAGTTTCTAATTAAATTGATTTCTCCATGAATAAAGAAAATGATTGTAGAATAAATATGAATGATAAATTATCAATAATCTATTAAATTAAAAGTTAAGGAAGATGAAATTAAAGCAATAAGGAAGAATATTATCAGTAAAATTATAGGAAAGTTACTCATAATTTTTTTTTAAAGAAAGTAACCTATAGGTTTTAAAGATATTCGCATTAATCATTATCCAAATATTTAAATTATTATTTATCAATAATTTAGAAAAAAATAAAAATAAAAAATAAAATAAAATAAAAATAAACACTCAGAGCATTTGCATTATTTCCCTACTTAAAAAATAAAATTCGAATCCCCTTTCTTCACTTATAAAAAAAATAATTTTAAAAAATAAATACTTAAATCCAAAATCTTAATTTTTTCTTTTTCAAAAGAAAATAATATTAATTTTTCTTCGCATCATATTTCCGCTAAAGCCTTTTCCCCTTCTTAACTACTCAAGCATATAAATAAAAATGCTAATTCAAGTTCATCTTAATTGTGATAATTAATTTTCATTTATCAAAAACATTTTCTTTTTTTTGGAAATTTAA